ACTGCAGGGGTCCGGCGTTCTGAAAACGCCCGACCCCCTCCCTCTTAGCACCGCGGGGGTCCGGCGTTCCGAGAACGCCCGACCCCCGGACCCCTGCCATCGATGAGCGGGGGGGAGGGGGGGGGGAGGGGGGTCTGGCGTACCCAGAACGCCCGACCCCCGACCATCGTTTTCCGATAGGGGGATCGGCGGCTCCCGGAACGCCGGACCCCCATTCCAGATGTGAGGGCCTCGTGTTGTGCGTTCCATGAACGCCCGACCCCCTTTCGGAAACAACGGTCGGGGGTCGGGCGTTCTGGGAACGCCGGACCCCCCTTCTGGAGACGTCGGGGGTCGGGCGTTATGGGAACGCCGGATCCCGTTTCAGAAACGCGGGCCGGGGTGTCGGGCGTCTATGGAACGACGGACCCCTTTTGAGAAACGATGGTCGGGGGTCGGGCGTTCTGGGAATGCCGGACCCCCCCTTCCAGAAATGACTGTCGGGGGTCGGGCGTTCTGGGAACTCTGGACCCCCCTTCTAGAGATGTCGGGGATCCCCTTTCAGAACGAGGGTCGGGGTGTCGGGCATCTAGGGAACGCTGGATCCCCTTTCGAAAACGATGGTCCGGGGTTGAGCGTTCTGGGAACGCTGGATCCCCTTTCGGAAACGACGGTCGGAGGTCGGGCGTACGGGGAACGCCGGACCCCCTTTCAGAAACGAGGGTCGGGGTGTCGGGCGTCTAGGGAACGTCGGACCCCTTTTCTGAAACGACGGTCGGGGGTCGGGCGTTCTGGGAACACCGGACCTCCTTTCAGAAAGGATGGTGGGGAGATGAGGATCTGGGAATCGGCCGTTTTGGAAACGCCGGACCCCCTCGGTGCGCGGAGGGTGGGAGTTCGGGCGTTTCCAGAACGCCCGACCCTCGTGGCTGTGGAGATGGGGGTCTGCCGTTTGGAGAAGGGCGGATCCACGATCGTTGACGACGCGAGGGGGGGTCGTCGACTCCACACGCGAAGTGTTACACTTCTGTTCCTCATGTTTTCTTTGCTTGTGCGTTTCCTTTGTTTATGCCCTCTAGGTCAACCTGGTGCTTCGACCTCTCGGGCATACGGCAGGTCAAAGATCTACAACAACAAACCATGGGCTCTGGACTGGGTTGGTGCTCTGCATAAGCCTGGGTGTGGGGGCGTCGTCTTCTTGAGCGCCGACAATAAATGAGCGATGACGTGCGACGTGGTACTGCTGTGGGGGTGTTGAGAAATCTGAGAGCGCCAGGAATACCTACGGCTGGAGGTTGTTCAGGACCTTCTTTCTTACGTCAGTTTTCGACAAGGATGGGACAAATTGGGTCAAAGAAGACAAGAAGGTCGGCCTTGACTTGCGGCTCTTTCAAGGCTACGGCGTCAAGGCTTTCTCCATGAAAGCGTTTGACGTGCGCGGGGATGGCACTGAGCTTCGCATGCTCACTGCGGAACAATTCCTCAGTAGAACGAACGGCTACCGCGTCACTGGCTGCCTTCCTGTCGTCGACAGTTTCTTGGAGCTCACCAAACCCTTGGTGAAATTCAGCAGCCCGGCGGACCAAGTAACTGTTGTTAAGGAGTACAGGGAAGCCTTCTTGAGGCTGCCTCTGGACCAGCAAGCCGACTGCGCTTTCGTGCCCTTTGTCATGAGCTCGAGGAAATCGCGACAGACGCCATCCGCACCGGTTGGGAAGAGGAAACAGTTGGCTGCTTGTCCAGCTCCGCCTTTGCCAGCCGCGTCGCCCTCACCCTTGCCCGCGGTGAGGGGAGGTCACGATCTCGCTCAATGTTCCAGCAAGGCTACGGAGTACGATGACAGACTTTTGTACGGACGCAATGTTGCGCGCGACAGTGTCCAGGAAGGTGCAACTGCCCTGATTGAGCGAAACGAGGAGGAAGAAGATGGGGGAAGTTGCGGTCCACGTGAAGACGGCGGTGATGACGAGTACATGGACGTTGGGGATGAGAACATGCAGGACCAGAACATGCTTGGCAATGACGACGTCGGTGTCACGTCGGAGCATGGCCATGGCGACATCCCCGCCGGTTCTGTGGGACCGGCTGTTGGTCGGCCCTTGTCATCCCCTGTGATACGGCATTCGCAAGGCGGGAGTCAGGGTGGGCATGACTCGCAGGAGCACGGAGGATCAAAGTCGAGGAAAAGGACAAGAGAAACTTCTCCTTCTGCTTCCGCTCACAAGAGACAATCGAGGACTGACGCTGGTAGTGAGGCTCGTGGAGCTCTGATAGCATCCCAGGAGGCGGGACCTCCTCGGAAGAGCAGCCAGGGGGGAAGATCTGGCGGTCGTGGCGGCGGCCGTGGTGGAGCAAGAAAAGGTAAGCAGATAGTGAGGGCAGAAGAACTGCGGGACTCGGGGGATGAGGGCGAGGAAGTGGGCCCTCGCATGCCCGACGATGGTGATGAACCGCTTCAGCACGCTGCAGCCATCGACACGACGCGTTGTTTCTTCCTCGAGTACGACGAGCGGGGTTTTGCTAAGCAAAAAGTCCTTCCTGTTCTTGTGGACGTCATGAAAATCAAATGCATTCCCCGCGGGAATATTCTTTTCAACCACCGCTCTTTGTTTGCGAACATTGTGCGAGGCATCGAGAATGCCATCGAGAGTTCCATCACCACGGAATCGGGGGCGTGGGATAGGCCTGAGCTCGTGCTTGCACCGGTTGACCGCAACGAAATCGTCGGTGGGCAGGGAAGGCGGATAACACCAACCGAATTCTTCGAAAGAGACTCCTCGGAGTTCGATTGGTATGCTGTCTGTGGTCAGCATACGGTCGAGGCCATGAAGACATTGGTAAAAAAGGCTCTCCGGCAGTCGACGTCTATGACCTTTGCGCGTACTCTAAGGTGCGGGTCGTCTATTTTGGAGATGACCGAACGCGAGGGTATTTCAATGTCTCCGCCTTCGACAACACGCGCGAAAATCGGGCCATGATGTTGTCGTTCGAGAATGTTGTCCGTGATATGAGGCAATGGTGGATCGATAACCACCGAATCGAGGCCCCGAAAGGCAAGGTCAGCGATAAGGATGCGGTCGCCGTTGCGCACCAAAAGAAGTGGCAGAATTTCTTAAGGGCCTCCATGGGGAAGGCATGCGACAAGGCGTTCGTGAAGCAAGCACTGGAGAACGAGTACAGTAAGGATTGGAGCAATAAACTCCGTGGCTACATGAACCTCGCCACATCCACCGAGGCTGTGTGGCAACTGGTCGAGAGGTTCTTCGAAATGTTCAACGAAGGGAAGCTGCCAGTTGGCGACGGTAAAATACCGCTTGACATGCCGGGTAGGATGGAGGGGCGCCAGCCAGGCCCGTACACCGACGAGACGACGGGGCAAAGAACATTATACCATTGCATATACGCGAGAGATGGTCCCAAAGGCTCCACCGTATCGTGGAAGGATCTCTGTCCTTCCTACTTCAAAAATTTCGGGGATTTGACGTGCCGCGAGAGGGAAGTTGCACTGCTCCTCCTCATGAAAGGGAAGGTGGTCGCAACGAACGTCAAGGTCATGCCTCCGAGAGTGAATACGGAGTGCCTCCTCAACATCATGCGCAAGGAACGCTACATGGTCCGTATGTTCAACTACGTTGTTTTCCGCGCCGAGGGAAGGGCGGACGATGAATGAAATGATGCCTTCTTCATGTCATACAAGGACCTCGAAGAAAGGTATGGGCCGAACGGTCTGTGTGCTGCTGAATGGGAGATGGAACGGGACAAGTTGCATGTAAGTTAAGTGAAGACGGTCCCTCGACGACTTGGAGGGGTGGAGGAGGCAAGGCAAGGATCAGGCTTGGGCCCTACGGCGGCAATGTATAAAGAGGCTCCGTTCCACTTTAAGGTGTTTGTATACACCTCAATCGATAAGCTCGATCTGCTTCAGGCGGAGGTCAAACGGGTCGCCTCCAGCCCACGTCATATCGTGTGGGATAAACTTAAAAAACAAACAACATTGCTACCGGTGTGCATGCCATTGAAGGAAGTGCTGGCTGCGCCAGACGACATTGTCGCTGCGGCGCAAAAAATGACCTGCAGGGCCGTCATCCTTGACATCTCCCCCGCCAACTTCTGCACGACATGGACCTCTCAAGAGTTCGACGCTCTGCACTCTATGATGACTAAGTGCTGTGGCGTTAATTGGGTTCTTTTTGTCTTCGCACCGCAGAAGGTGCAAAGTGATATTCTGCGTTGCTTATTCCGGTGGGAGGACATCGAACTCATCCTCGGGACCTGGAAACGGGTGGACAGGCCATTGAATGACATCACGAGGTACGGCAATATCGCTACGGCGAGTCGAGACATGATGGCCATTGTCCTGCACGCGGAGGGAGGGGATATCAGAAAGGTCACGGTCGCACACCACCTTATCAATGACCTCACAAACGTGCATGTTGTGGAGGAGAAGTTCGGAAAATGTCTTGGGAAACACGAGGGCATAGAGGGCGATGAAAGTGTGGTGTATTCCATCTGGGAGCGAGAGTCTGGCAAGTTGCGTTCGTTGTGAGGGTCATTCGTCGGGGAGGCGGAAGGTGTGCTTTTATTGGGTAGGGCGCACGTGGGTCTTGTGTGGGAATTCTTACTGGCAGGGAATAATGTAATTGCCTGTGACGAGTCGGCAAAGGACATTGCATACTTGACAAAGTTCATCGATATACTTGTCAAGGACGACAGATTCAACTGCCACGTCGAGAAACCGCGTTGCAAACATCGCCCGAACAGGGACATGTTCCACAAGTTGGGGCCTAAGAGACTGAAGGTGTGGGAGTACCTGTTCTGCGATATGCCACAAGGACGGCTTGACGGGAAATATATATATACAGGAAAGCAAAGGCAACAAAGACCCTCAAACATTATCACGGTGCTCTCACTGGCGCCTCTGAGACTTTTGTTGCTCGATGCGAGATCCTCAAGTTTGATCTTCGCAAAGACCAATTGACGTCCAAGGACTACGCGGAGCTCGCGAAATCGGGCGATGGCTTTAACCCCGTCGACAGCGAGGAAGATTCTTCGGACTCCGACCTCGGACTGGGCGAGGAAACATGTGTTGAGGTTCCGCGCAGTGGAATGGTGCAAGCTCACGATGACGGAACTGTCCATTCGCACGAAGGGTCCATCCCAGTGGCCGCCCCAAGCGTCGCCTCAATGGTGGCCCCGTCGGAGACTGCTGCATTGCAAGACATTGGAAGATGCGGTGGCAATAAAGAAGGCGACATTGAGATACCAGGTGAGGCGTCGACGCTCGCACTAGGCGATGCAATTCCTCCAGGCTACTGTGCTGGCCCAAACACGATTTATTTCTTGGAGGGCAAACACACCCACACAGGCGAGGATCAGTGGGGTCATGACATCATATGGCATGAGGGCGTTTTACAGCCGTACATCCAAGATGGGGAGTGGAAGATGGCGGTGAAATACACAAGCAGTTGGAAGACTTTTCGTCGGATGTCAAAGGACATCTGGTTAAAAACGACGGAGCTCGCGATCCTGCATCGCGTGCGCGTCGAGAATCCAGGGCAGAGCGAGGCCGCCATCAAAGCCAACGCCGAAGAAGTGTTTCATGTCTTGCGCGACAATCGGCAACTGGAGTACAACAACAAATTTTATGCCCTGTGCTCGAGTCCCTCACGCGGGTCTATAAACTGGAAGGTTGATCAAACCGCCAGAACCTTGAAGGGGAGCTGCTCTCATGATTTCATGCCTTCGGCTGAGTCGGCCTCCGTGCCCGCGCAAGCAGGGCACAGGGGAGATGACGGGACTACTGTTGTCGGGCCTCAAGAGGTTGACATGACGTCAATGCCGCAAATATCGAAAAAATCCATCTCGGTCGCCGCGGCACAATCGTCCCCACCCATCGATGTGTCAACGACGTTGCCGCCGGATGCAGGTGCCACGTACGGGAGTTTATTGATAACAAATGCTGCAATGGAAGGCAGATCCGAGATCGAGTTAGAGTCTGATGTTGGGCCGAGCATGGCGGAGAGTCGGTTGCAACCGTCTTTATGCACTGTCAAAGGTGATGCACAATCACCGCTGACACTACAGGGAGGGGCCGATGGAGATGGATATAAGGGAGAGGATGCGGAGGGAATGCACCGTTCTCGCAACCTCGACACCTTAACCGCTGATATTGATTAAAAGGGTGAGGATGGTTGAGGCAGGAGGGGTGCAATTGGAGGGGGAAAATCCAATTATATGATTACAACTTCACCTCTGCCTTGTTGAATGAAATTGTGTAATTGACTCGGTTCGTTGTTTTGTTTAAAACATAATTCGTATTAGTCTCCGGAGGCACCACTTCTACATCGTTTTTCCATTTATGTATATATTTTTTTTCACCTCAAATTTTTAATCGACCTGAGATGTTTAGATTGACTCCCCGTCTCGACGTGCAGTAACAAATCGTGGTGGGAGCGTAAGTGTGGTATTGTACATCTCTCTCTTTCTCTCTCTCTCTCTCTCTCTCTCTCTCTCTCTCTCTCTCTCTCTCTCTCTCTCTNTCTCTCTCTCTCTCTCTCTCTCTCTCTCTCTCTCTCTCTCTCTCTCTCTCTCTCTCTCTCTCTCTCTCTCTCTCTCTCTCTCTCTCTCGGATCTGCCTTCCATTGCAACATAACCCCGACATGGACGTGTGTGTGCGGACGTACTATATAAGGGTGGTTGATCGATCCGAGGAATGAATGACTGCAAATGTGAATGACGTTCATACAAGTAAAATATTAGAGAAATAATGAAAACATGCCTTGCATGCATCAGCTCTCACAAAGCGTTTAGCGATGCACTCACAATACTTGCCCCGTCCGCCCGCGTGAATGTCCTCTTCCTCATCGTCTGTGGTGTGCAGTACAAATGACAACAACGGATACAAGATTGTGCAAAAGAGGATGGACAATGCATCTTGCAACTTCGTTTTTATCAGAGAGGGAGGTGGCAGCACTAGCGCATATCATTCGCGAATACGGGAATAGGTATCCCGTTGTCAGCACACAAGATGCGCACAATAACAAAGTGTTGCAACTCACTCGCAGCGATTTCCTTTTACTCGTCGTCGAACAACAGTGGTTAAACGACAACGTGATCAACTTTTATCTCAACCTCATAGCATTAGACAACTGCTGTAGAATACAGCACGTAGAATGCGACGCGGATAATGAGATAGTCATTAGAGAAGGAAACGGTCGCATTCCCAAAGTATCAGTATTGAGCTCATTTTTTTTCGTCAAACTTTTCAATAATGACATGAGATATAGAGGCCGAAAGGTAGAACATTGGTACCAGGATGTAATTATAAGTGACATGGATTTGATTATTGCTCCTTTCCATACCGCACACCAGGACCACTGGACCTTGGTCGTGGCTGACTTAAGGAGGAGGAAATTCGAATTGTACGACCCCCTCGACCTCGACAAGAAGTTCGCGTTATAAGTGACCGGCGGGTTTGCAAAGTTTTTATTCGAAAGATCGAAATCGCAAGGCAAAGAGGTGAACACGAGACCATTTCATCACATATGGAATGTAGAGGGAATTTCAAAGCAACATGACACGAACGAATGTGGGGTCTTTGTTCTCACGTACGCGTTACTTTTGGTACGGGGCCAACTTCTGCCTTTCTGTTTCACCGCAGATGACATACCCACGATACGTCGTCAGATGACATTGGACACAGTGGCTCGTGAGTAGTGTGTACGTAATATTATATAGCATGATTGCGAAGGGGGCGGACGTGTTTGGCACGAGATGACGCTTGACAAATAGCAATGTATATAAGGTGTTAATTATTCCTCGGTGCACTGTGTCACTTGCCCCTTGCATGGTACCTTACACCTTACACCTTACCCCATACACCTTACACCTTAGCCCCCTACACCTTACACCTTACCCCTTACACCTTACCCCTTACACCTTACCCCTTACACCTTACCCCTTATACCTTACCCCTTATACCTTACCCCTTACCCCTCACACCAAAACGCCCATTTGTAATGGTTTTTGCACTTCAATCATCTCAAAAATGACAATTTCAATTTCGTTCAAAAAATATAAAATGTCCGTTTTGACAAAATCGCTGTTCATTTAGCAAGGAGATTGGTCGCCAGTTTCTAACTTCCGTCTTGTCACCCTTCTTAAACAGCATGCTGATGACACCATGTGTCATTCCCCTCCCTAACCTGCCACCCACTAAGATCTGATTGTACAGCTCTACTCGTCTTGGGCCCATCAAGCTCCACATAAAGCTATAAAACTCCACTGTCAATCCGTCAATCCCCGGGGACTTGCCTTTAGCTTTAGATTTAACTGTCTGAGAGAGCTCCTCCAGGGAGACTGGTCGATCAAGGTCTAGCTTGGCTGATTCTGATAGCTTCACCTTCGTGTCCTCCCACATGTCCGAGGAGCTTGATAGGTCGGTTGTCGGATCTACCTGTGGAGCCCTCGAGGTAAGGACATCCTCGTAGTAGAGTTTAGCGTAGTGCAACATCCGGTAGTCGTAACAGCATTCGGAGCACTGCCATCAAAGAGGTGGCAGAGTTCAACTGTCTGGTGCTGGGTTCAACGCGGCTGAAGTTTCTGGAACGTTTCCTTCGTCATCTGGTCATGTGTTTCAACACCTTTTTCTTTGAGGAGCTCCAACCACCTTTTTTGTTTGTCCTGCTGCACCGCTTCCCACTCTCTCATCCTCCGTTCTCTCTCCGCTGCCCAGACCATGGCCGAGATCGGATGGCCCTCCATTCTTTCTTCGACCTCCTCCACTTTCTTCTTGCACTCTGCTTCCTTCACATTCCTCTCTTTTGCCAAGATCTGAGACAGAACGTCCAATACTCCGGAAGCTATTGCCAAACCCCCATCTAGCCATTCCGCTGTGTCCGTAAAGAACTCTCTTGCAGTCTCCCATTTCTCCATGTGGTCCTCCACCCATTCCCGAACTCCCGAATTCTCCAAAACTTGCTTATTCAGTCTGAAGAAGCCCTTTCCCCTCTCACCTCCCTCCTGCAGTCTTATATCAGCAGTAACTGGCTTGTGGTCAGATAAGGGGCTACTGGCATGTTTTACCATTGTTACTCTGGGCAGCAACTGGTTACTAACCAGGATGTAATCTAGCCTGCGTCTGGTAATGCGTTGTCTGTTGTGGAATAAGTGAGAGTACCAAGTGTACCCCGGGTCTTCCGGATTTAGTAGCCTAAACGGATCCGTAAGAACCAGCACTTCCATCAAGTTCAGCAGACTTTCCACATCTCCGCTTCCCGCCTTCCTTGAGTCCAAATTCAGCGCATCATCAAGAGACCTGTTCCAGTCTCCTGCGAGGATCACCTTGTCTACCTTGGGGATAATCAAGATCAGGTTTTTGAAAAAGGTCTCCCGGTCCTTCGAAGCCGTCGGTGCATAAACAGTCATAAGAAGCCATTCCTCAGTGCCTACCTCTGTACGCATCCAAGCCCAGCGCCTCAATATGTCAGCTTCCATATCCACTACCCGGGCCTGCAAGTCCTTATGGAGAAGGATGCAGGCCCCTCCCTTGGTGCCCTGGACAGGGGACCAGATTTGGGGGCCGTCCCAGCAAGAACCCAAATCCCGAATCTTCTCTTCATTCAATTTAGTTTCCTGTATCATAATGCAATTCCTGCTCCACTCATGCGCCCAGGACTTCAGACCTCTCTTTTTAGACCTACCGTTCGTATCCCCCAACCCTTTGATGTTCCAAGATCCAAGCTTCAGCTTATCCATTGTTAACCCCCGCTTCTGTTGTCGTTTGGATACAGGACTTTGACTGTGCTTTGTCTGCCTCAGGCCCTCTGGAGTCTCCAGATCTTCGTGTTGTTCTAGATTTGTCTCTCGTACTCCCTTGAGAAGAATTCGATGCAGAGATGGTCTGTCAGTCTGCTGTTAGTGCCCTTGCGAGGAACGAAGATTGCAAGCATTCTTCCTCTTGCAATTTCTCATTAACGTTTCTCAGCACAACCGTCGAAATGTCTGGGGTGATCTTGATGGATTCAAGCTCTTCCATGAATTGGTCAGATAGCTTCGACATGTGGACCCACCTCACTCCGGCCTGCGTCAACGAATCCACCAGTTCCAGAGGTAATCTGGCATCCAGCAATGGAAAGTACAACTTGTAGTATTTCTCCCCTGATTCAACAATCAGACTCACCATGGTTGATTTTGGAATAAGCCTGATGGCCACATGTTGCCCATATAATGACTTCGTGAAATCGACAATCTCCGAAGGCATATGTGAGTGGTCCAAGTCCACTGACGACATCATTGGAGTACCATCTATCTGGGCCAGGGCCAGGAAGTAGACACCATCATTTGCCATAGTGCAAAGCACAAGTACTAATCTTCTCTGCACCTTCTCCACTTGACTTTTCCGCACTGTATCTGCTCGTCGATCCTCCCGCGCGCCCAAGTTGGCGTTTCCCACCATTTCTTCGTTTTCTGTATTCTTCGCTGCTGACGAGCTAGACATCGCAGATCTTTTCTCCACTGATCCTTCAAAGTGTTCTGATTGTTTATCCCCTTCGTACCACTCACTCCCCCATCTTACTTTGGATTAAGAGGAGGCAGCCGAAGTGTTTGAGAGTTCTCTTTTAGCATTATCCCCATTCTGTGCCTGTTCTGGAATCTTATTCAATTCTGAGACTCCTCTTTTACTCCTTCGATCTTCTGACCCTGTTGCTGCTCCTGTGCCTGTCCACCGCCCATCCCCTCTTCCAGTCTGCATTTCCTCTTTCTGCCATCCTCTCTCATGGTCTCTCCATCTTTCATCTTCACTTCTTCCTTGCTCCCTCCAATGGTCTCTACTGGTACCTCTGACTTCCCTCCTCCGCTGTCTCCAATCGGTACTGGTGCTTCTTCCGTTCTGCCTCATGGGGCCCGGTTTCTCAATTCTCCAAGCTGGACTTGGCAGTGCGGCGTATGGTTCCCTGCATTGTGACGTCAACTCTCTCCAGTTAAAGGCATTTGATGGGTATCTTGGACGTGGAGACACCTGGGCTGCCAGTGTCTGCAATTCCTGATATGCTTGTACCAGTTGACCTGGGAAGAACTCCTGTTGGCTCAACCCCCAAAGTGGGTCCTGCCACTGCTGCTGTTCCGCTGGGGGTGGAAGCTTTTCTCCGCAGAAACTTCCTCCTGGTCAGTTGGATCTTTCCAACCATGGAGGTCTTGACGAGGGGCCACCTGTGGGGTCCTCAGGCGCCATCCATCCGCCCCTGCCCCTTGCTTGGTGTTCCTCTAGGATACCGTAGTCCATCGCTGAACCTTCTCGATAGGTAGGCGGACGAACCCCGTAACCACCCGAAGCTCCAACCGACAGCATACCTCCTAGTACGGCTCTATTCCCTTGGGGATTTTGGCCCAAGTCCCTCCCATCCTGTCTACTGAACACCTCCTATCTCGCTCTGTCCCACCCTCCAAGTTGCTGCTGTGGATTCCCCTCTACAACAACTTGGTCCGCCCATCCTGGGTGTTGGTCGTAGGTCCTGTTCGGTGCCGACTGATGATTCGGTTGCCTCTCTACTGCACCCCCTCTGCTGGAGGAACCCGAGCCTTCCTGTCTTTCCTGTCTTCGTTGGTGTTGTGTAAATCTAACTTTATGTCCTCCAGGCCTAACCGCCCGACTTCCCCCTTTTTCCTCCCCCTGACGACCTCTTGGACAATTGGTTTCCGCATGGAAATACCACTTGCAATTCCTACACCAATCAGTGTAGGGTGTGGCTACATCCACACTCCATCTTTCTCCGGACGGCGCCTCGATTGTTAACACATCCTCCACTCTATCTCGTGCCTCGGGACATAAGTCCAACTTAACATTCATTAACCTTGGTCTCGAAGCATCGTATTCCGGTGGGTGCATCAATATGACCTCCCCAAACATACCTTGTACCTCACTTCGTAGGTAATGGTATGCATCCAGCGGGACGCGTAGCGCCATTATCCAAAATTTCACCTCGGCCTCTTGTAGTTTCATTTCTTTCAACTCTTGAATAGGGAACCATGGTTTGAACGTCACTTTGTACTCTTCCGAATCCTTCAATTTAATCGATAACTCCCTTTGTCGGAGGAGCCAAGTAGCTATCCGCTCCGGCCTAGCCACGTAGGCCACAACGTTTGCCCCTTCAAAATTCACTCGCTCTCGTTCGGCATCATGGCCAAAGAGTTTATTCACAAACCAGCCGTCTTCATACGCCCTAATCAGGTCTTCTTTAACTTGCCTTGACAATTGCCTCGCTTCTCCTTGAAAAGTGACTATCAACGTATGGTCTTTTAGCCAGGCATCTTTCACCGCGTTGACCTGGCTGTTGACCACAAACCGTTTACCGTCAGCATCTTCTAGCACCTCCCCCAGCGAAGCATCATCCGGGCACACTCCTTGCGTGTAACATCTGCCCACCGATTCCCATGGCCTATCGTTGGCCTCTTCTGACGCCGATGGATTCGTAGGAATATTCCTCCCATATTCCGTTTGATTCGCCATCACCTTGGCACTAGGGCGACTCGATCCACTTCCTGTCTTTTTTCCGTAATCGTAAGAATTCACCCTTCGTCAACCCTAAACTTGGTATCTCCGTGTTTAGTGATAGTGGAGGAATCACGCGATACCGGCTACTGCGTCTGGTCCAGTGAGCTCTGACTATCCTGGACTAACCTACAGGACTACCCACGCCACCATCACCAATCACCTCTGAAGAAGAGGTGGGCCTGGTCAGCATCCACCCCCCGTCATGATGACGAGGAAAGTGGAGGGGCAGCGCCGTCAACTTCCGACGGCGACGGTCCGACTCGGAGCGCTACGCTATCCGCCCGGGCCGGCCGCTCCTCCCTGCGCACCCCTCGCCATGATTCGGTTTTTCCTTATTTATATATATATATATATATATATATATTATATATAATTTTGAATTACCTGATGCCATGTTTTTGTTTTTCGGGAATTCTTTTCGTGTCAAGTAGCACGCCGCGCGAATAAGGCCCCCCCCGGAAGGGATGCACAGTGACTGGCCCATCGAAGAAGCTCGGTCCTGATGCTACCGGCTGACCCCTGGCCGGTATCGCCCACCTGCTGTAGCAGGTATCAC